TTACTACATGTGACACACATATCTGATTCACTTCTGCATTTGTTACTACAGAATGAGGTGAACAGCTTGCTGCAGCATTACTCTGTAAACCAGGACTTGGTGGCCGAGGTAGAGAAACTACGCGAGGAAAACAAACGACTCAAGAAACATTTCTGATGTCTTACAAATTTGTATGAAAACAAGAGAATCGACAAACACTTATAGCATTACGATCTCCTTAAGGGCGAAAAAAGACTGAGACACATTTACGATGTCCTGATAGGTGCCTTCATTATTCATATTAACACACAACATTCTACTGCATCAACTCAAGTCTTTATGTTTAGATATAGCATGTCTCACAAATGTATTTTGATGTATTGTTAAAGCAATTGATTATAAATTTGTTATTTAATACAGAAATGAATTCAGATGATTGCAACAGTTCTTTCTTTTCTGAAATATATAATGTGAAAGAAAAAAATTAAATATAAACAGTAGTAACTTGAGTTATATTAATCTCTTTTAAATGGATTGATGATACAACTGTGTATCTAAATTTCAATATTTAAACAACTGTCAAACAAGTATATTACCTTATCATGTTGACATGATCAAACAAAATTGTTTCAGAAAATCCATTGCATTTGTTTATATATACATATTTTTATGCTCAAATTCATTTCTTTCTGGCTCTTACCTAAATGTAAAAGTGGAAATATTTGTAGTGTGAAAATGCTAGCTTTTTTGCGTCAAGTTAAATAGCGTGAAATATATCCACATGTGAGTATTTGTTTATGGATTATATTGGTATATCAGATCCATTGCCAATGTGAAAATTTCAACACTGCGATCAGTTTTACTTATTCACCCCTGAAATTTCATATGAATTATTCCAACCTATGAACTTGAAGAGTTCAAATGTGTCTTCAAGGGTGAGTGAGTTAAAGAGCCGCAATTTGAGCATTTTCACAGGCGAATACTTCTACAGTATTTGGAATGTATCAACTTTCCTGTCAATTTCCAAATGCAATCATTTACAAATTTAACACGACGAGAAAAGAATCATCATTTGTAACTATGATGTTATAATCACTGTTTTTCAATACAAGTTGTTGTGTTAACCCCTGGATATCGAGGATGAGAGCATAGGCAGAGCTTAACCACTGGATATCGAGGATGAGAGCATAGGCAGAGCTTAACCCCTGGATATCGAGGATGGTTATTTATAAGAATGTCTAGATATTTTAGTGTTGAATTTGATTTGTGTATTTGGGCAGCAATGAACATATGAAATCAGTTAGTATTTTGGCAATGTTTGAATTACCTGTAATATAATCAAGCATTGATCACATAGCCAAATTATTATTAATTTGTGTACAAATATTTAAATATTTATGAAATCAAAATATGAAAGCAGACCAAAGGACTATGAATGCATGGTTTGGGCCTTTTTTGGCCCCCTAATCCATCAAAATTATAAATCTTCAATACTACATGTGACACCCTGTTTCTTTAATTTTGAATACTTCCCTGGTACTATTATGTGAACATTTATTTAGGTTTTATAATAATAAACTTTATTTATTGAGGATACAAAACCTGTTTAGCAAAGCTAACCTTCCACAGGGTCCTCAATTTTCATTTCAAGTATGGCTGCCATGGTAACCAGTTAATATTTGCATAAGTTAATGAAATTTGAATATTCAGTAAATTTTGACAGGCTTTTGCATAGTTTTTCTCTTAGATACCATAAAGCGCACTCTTGAACAAACTTTATATTTCTCCTAAAGATGTATTACAGGTGCCTACACACTATCCTTTGATTTTGAGTTTGTTCAAGCATGCGCTCTACAGTTTCCCGAAGAAAAACTATGCAAAATATGACAAAATTCACTGAATATTCATTTTTTTTCTGATTTATGCAAGTTTGAACTTGTTACCATGGCAACTATAATTAGAAAAACAAATAAATATTTTCATGATAGTGTTTGGGAAGTAATCAAAATAAAAGAAACAAGTCATTTCAAAGTTCATTTAAAGGTTTTTAATTTTGATGCATTTTGGGGACAAAACATGCCCAAACCATACATAGTCCTTTGTTTAAACAAATGTATGAATTTGAGAGATTTTAAGATTTTTCTGGAGTCAGTTGGAAAGAATTTCAATGATGTTTGATGAATTATGTCATTAAGTGCCAAACTTCCATCCAACGATAAAACCTCAATATGCTGCTGTAATTTGTCCAACAAAATGTTTGTGTAAGGAATTAAAAGGTGTCCCAGCATTTTTGTTTTAAAGGAGTAAGGAATTATAAAGGGATTTGACATTATACAGGGATTTTGTGTTGTAAAGGGGACTGACATTATACAGGGATTTTGTGTTGTAAAGGGATTTAACATTATAAAGGGCTGACATTATAATGGGATTTTGTGCTAAAAAAGGGTTTGACATTATAATTGGATTTTTGCCTTGTGACTGGGTTTTGGATAAAGATATGTACCATCATAAAGGGGTTTGACAATATGTTGAAGGAGAACAATATAAGAATTGTAAAAGAATCAATTAAAACAATCTGTTAAAATTGTAATTCTTATTTAGCGAGTGAGAAAAGTCATTATTATGAGTTTACCAATGTGAACATGTTTATGACTTGGTTCAAATGTCTGTTTTACATACAAAATGTAATATGGGATGTTTGATATGAAAAGAAATTAGACGTCAAGCTAAATCTATGGGAAAGGATTACTTGAACCTGGGTCAAGTTAGTTATGTTGTTTCAAACAAAATCATGCTGCCTTGTATAATATTTGTTTTCCCTTTTGTTTACGCTCTTATTGATATGCTTATTTTGCCTATCTCAAAGATCCATCAGCATTCTCACAAGACTATAATGTAAAACTTTGTGACGTTCTTCAGTTGTTGACTTTGAAATGCACTTTTAAATTTGCAAATTTTTCCGTTTAAATATCACACCAGGGACCAATCCTGTAAGCTTTTGTATACGTAGAGCTACATTAGCTTTTATTTTATTGCATGTTCAAAAATGTTGTAATTCTATAAAGTTTAATGGCTGGAGATTTAATAACAGTAAATAAAGCAACGAACACCAAGTGTCAAACTTAACCACAAAACATTATTAAAGAGAGTTCTAGGAGATCACATTGTATATTTATACCTATGTTAAAGTTTGAGGTGTGATAGGGCCATACACACAAGTCGAGATTTATCGACAATAAATCTTTACAGCAACATAATACCAGAGGTAACCACAAGTCATATACATACCCCTGTCTCCTGTTTGCTTGGAAATATTATATCTAACGTATAGAAGAGCATCAAACTTCCTCTTTGTATTTAACTTTTTCCAGTTTTCATGATTACATTAGAGCCGTACATATTAGTACAGAGGCTTAGCAATAAAACTGACTCGTTTGTAAATGTTCCACCCTCAAGTTAAAGTACCCATACAAATTGTCATGCAATACAGATTTGAATTCCAAATGTTCTATTACGCGTTTATTGTCTTCCATGCACCCCTACCAAGGGGTCCCCATTACCAGCATTGCATTGGACTGGAAGGCTTGCCTGTTTGTGGTGACGTTAAGATTTTGTTTACAGGATTATTTTTTTCTAAATGCTGTGCTGTTGATTTTTTGTTAGGAACACACTGAGTTTTGTTGATTGTGATGTGAAACATGATGTGAAGATCTATAAGTGTTCTGTTTTTTAACGTTGAAGAGTTTGTATGCTGTGAAGTTTTTGTCTGGTCTGAATACATTTGTGTGATCAAATATACTGGTAAAATTGACAGTAACTGAAATTGTCTGCTGTGCAATAGATACTAAAATTAACCACTTATTGTAAGCAGAGTCAAAACATTTAACTGACAGCTATAAGTTTCACTGTATAAAACTTCCTCCTTTAAGTTAATATGAACATGTAAACAAGGGTGTGTCATTCCACTAGTCCGACACCCAGTGCAAGTGGACCTTGTTTATATGTGTTGTCTGTTGAGGATATTTGCTACCTTACAGTGCAGTGTGCAGCAATGTTTGTAGAACTTCTTTATGTCACTCCTGAATACCTTTTAAAAATTTCGATTTTGAGTTCCCATTACAAAGAGTTATAGTGAATACTTAGGAAGGAGGTGAGTCCCAGATGAATAAGGAAAAAAAACTTTGGACTCAAATATCTGTGTATCCCAGAAATCACTGATGTGTGTATTTATTTCTAAAGAGATCCATTCTGAGGAAGAACGTTATTATTGTCTTAATGAAAAATAGCTTTGTTTTTCGTTAATTGACAACACATTTGAAAGGTAAAGGTCATTATACTCATTAACACTCTCTGAAAACCTGAATCATTACATACAGCTAGAATTTAAGGAGAGAAGGAACAATGTGTAAGGAAGCATATATTGTAAAGGGAGATCACTCTTAAAACAAGTTGCAGATTCATGTGTAAGGTAGCATGTATCCTTAAGGAGGGTCACTCCATGAAGAAGTCGGTTATTGCGTTATAAAGACGAAAGAAAGATCAATTTTGCACAAATCACAGTTACAGGAAAGGCAGCATAATAAAACGAAGTCATTCATTGTTTTGAGTTCCAAATGGGCAGTTCTGCATAAAATATAAATATCTGCCATATGAACCTACCTAGATGTTACTAAGATTTCCTCCCGTTGTATAGACATAAGGCATCTTAATGTCTTGCTAATAGTATGCTGGCTTACTGAGCCTAATAGCATAGAACAGGTAGTATTTCTAGTTGATATTATTCATGTTTTCTTTTTCACATAAAATACATTTCCTTTCAATTCTCATTTCAAATTTGCATTTCGTTAAACTTTTTTTTGTATATCATTTTGCAATTATGAACAAGTATGTTGTTATTTTAAACCCCTTGGTGCTTTACCTCTCCACCATCTCTCATGCATGTGTTCATAATCTTTACTTTGTCTTGTTCTTGTGAAGTGCCATACGAGAACCCATACATACTGACACTTGGCTCTTCTAAAGTTCCTGCTCATAATTTCCATGCTTATAGTTTACATTTAAAACTTATCGTGATCAATACTTCTGTAGTGATGTTTAGAATAATATAACACCTTTTCATAGGAAAATTTTAATGCTTCAGATTATCAACACAGAATGTATAATAGAAAAAAAATATTAATACAGCTCAGTCTTGAGCTCCGACTTAAATGAGAAAGAATGTGATATTCATTTTGTTCTATCTTTTATTTATAATTGATATCCTTTACATGATCTTTTTTTCTACTTCAAAAAACAAATCAAGAAAAAAATGAAAAGAAGCTATGTCAAAATCTTATTTTTTTTTATCAAAGTTTATTTAAACAAGTTATTCACTAAGAATTGATTTACAATAAAAGCATGTCATATATTGTATTAAATAGTTATAGATTCCTTATTTTAATATGCCTGAATATCTTACAAGATAATTTGATACATGATACGTTCTTCCCACCAACAACATGAAAATGCCGAAGTTGAGGTAACCTACAATATGATGGGAGACATCTTCCAGAAACCATGGTACATTACATGGATGATGCTCAAGAGAAAAGCCACAAATGTTCCTATTTAATTCATTCACCCCTGAAATTTGATAATGAACTATACCAACCTTTGAATTGAAAGGTTTCAATTTTTTCTTCAGGGGTGAATGACTTTATCATTGATGATTTGTGTATATTGATATGGCTAAATTATGTATAATACATATACGCATTCTCTACAGCTGTTTGAATATGTTACTTCATTTTTTACTTACTTTGTATTATATGAAATTTTGTATCTTTTCCATCTGGAGAATAAAACTCGACTATCTAAGAGTAAGTGGATGGAAATGATCTACATTATTATGCTTTTATAGGCCTAGAAAATCTTCATGCAAATTATGTGAGACGTCTGGTTCCATGTACATTTGCAAACAAAACCATAAGAGAGGAGGGGATTTACTCCTCTGCTTCTTTTTTTGGCTCTTTTAAAGAAATGCCTATTCACAGAGTTCATGTTAACAGGAATATTTGTTGATATTCTTTAAAAAAAATCTTACTAAAGCCAAACAGAAACTTAAAAAGCTATAATTTAAGCAGGTCTGGAATTTCCATCCACATTCACAGAAATAGTCGACTGTTAACTTTGTTTTGTCGTTTGATTTTGATTGGTTTGTTGACTTATAGCTGTATTGTATACAGACTTTCAACAAGGGTGTATTGTGGTGACACCTTGTTTGGGCTTGGACTTAAAGGGTTTATAGTCCTATTGTCATTAAATGACATATCTCCATGTAATGTATGTGTGCTAGAGGTGGTATGTTGGTGTATTTGTCTCCTTGTAACAGTGTAGATCTGATGCCAACTTCATAGTGCTATCTCACTGAAATACCATGCCAAAGGCATCCAGCATAGTATCCTACCCGGTTACATTATACTGACGACGGGTAAATAATTTGTTGCAATTACCCAAAATACTGAATGTAACGCAAGGAATAACAGCTGCCATTTTAGAGTTCACCTGCCTGAAGGGAAAGTGAGCTTATGCTCTGGTGCAACGATTGTCAGCTGTCCATCCACAACTAGAACTGAAAGGCATATAGTTAGGCTATTAGGTACGAAGCTTCCTCGAATTGAGCCCAATACAGTTTGCGAATATTCAAGTTCTTGGTGGTCAAATATATGCCAAAACTGCAAACAATTTCTGAAGCAGATTAATTTTGGAATCTTCTATGTCGTTCAGCATTTCGGGTAATCCCATAATGTGACTGGATGGATGCTGTGCCGAGTACCTCAGCTGAGATTGTGATAATACTTTGCATTATCTGGGAAATCATGCAGTTAATTTTTCCATTTAACAATATAACCTTAGAACAACACAAGTAATATTCCGTCTTTTCGTATTGCAGAGTTATCTGCTCTTGTGAGCAGGTATTCATTGTTATGTCATTTGTTTGTGAGAGTAATGTCATTAATTTTTGAGAAAACGACGTAATTTTCTCGCACAAACTATTGACGTAAACATCAATACCTGTTTACAAGAGCAGATAACTCTGCAATACGAAAAGACGGAATAGAAGGGCAGCATCATCCCAATCTAATCAAGAGTGTTGTCCTGGGCAGGAAAATATAGTTTTGTATTGAAATTTATCTGACGTTCACCATCATGTTAAATAGATTATATTTGTCTGTCTTTCTAGTATATCAAGTATAATCTTTGACCCTAAATACCGTGATCAATAAGCGTTCCTGTTAATATTTTGGTTTGGTCAACACAAAGGCATTTTTGATTGAATTGTTCTTGCGATATTCGCAAGCTGCAACTCCAGACAAACAAACAAGTACTTGAAGATCCATACAATTCCACCCAGCACCTTAGACTAGACTTACACGAGATTGTAACAGATTAATAAAGGGTGATTTAAAAACAAACTTACATCACTGAAAATTAGTTCTACATATAATTTGAATACAAGAATGCCTAATGTCCTCACAGTAAGCACAAGAAGCACCAACAGGAAGACCTATGAAAACGAGGTTGACCTGTAAGGTCAGTCGGTGTATAGAACATTAACCACCGATATTTAGTGAAATAACTGAACATTTTGGTGATTACAATTTGAACAACTTCGACATAAATTGAATTTAAGCATCTTTTACAGGAGTATAGTTCCAAAATCAAATTATATGTATTTCAATACTATTCACTTACCAATTGTCATTGAAGTAGAAACGAACAACCCTCCTCGATGGTTGTGTTGATTCTGAGGTTTATGGAATTATAATATTAGCATTCCCTTGCCGAGTATAACAATTGTTCTATAAGTTTACAGAGAAATTATTTTGACTAGTCTGCATTCATGTGAGGCGTCGATGAGTTCTTGCAGCATATCCTTTATTTCTTCCACTGTGCTTTTCATTTCTCAGAATTCCCTGGCTCCCTCGTAACGGTATTTTATTACAGGGACCCATGTTCTCTAGAATTTTCAGAACTCACCTTTTCTTTTTCTATATTCAGATTTACAAATACATATACTTTATCCGACAGTTATGGTAGTATTTTCTCATGATGCATTTATTTCTTATATTTGGGAGTTATACACAATTGCATTATATGAAAATTCTTCTAGCTCTTTCATGAATACAATCTCCGTTTCATTTTAAAAGGGGAACTTTTTTCAGAGTAGACATATATCCCATATAGAGAACAGCATATAATCCGGTATGTAGGTACAACTTGGGAAAACTGTGCCTTGAGTTGGTTAACGCGACCAAAAGTTTGATTCTTATGGTTTCATGGGTTTATACTAACAATTTCCATGCAGCGGAGATCCACAAATGAGTAGAGAAGTGTATACGAGATTACCCTTAAGAATGTCTTCTATCGCTTTCCTAGTAAGCTTTTTTTCATTTCAACAAATTTTATTGACAGATGTTATAGTCAAATGGTAAGCCTAAATAAATTCTTTCCATGAGTGGCTCAAAATTTGATCGAATATATATACAATGTAGTTACAACAATAATGAATAATTAATTAAAGGATACTTTGAAATGAAAAATTATATATAAAGGATCAGGGGAGATAACTCCAACATTATAAACACAACGGGGATGAACTCATATCCCAATAACAATACACAAACAACTCGCAATCAGAAATCAAACACACATACAATTATTTTCTAATTAAATAAAACATAGTCACAATCAGTATATCATATGCACAGTAAGAGTAGACTTTGACCAAAAGTCCTAGTAAGAATGGCTTGGGCCTTCTATTTCCTGTCTTGTTCCGATTCAGTTGTAAATTTTTATCAGCATTTTGAACAGTGTAGAAATGAAGGTCGGACCTAGTAGTCTGATGCTGCTTTCAGGCGAGCCTTGACAAATCATTGAAAGGCCTGCATAAACATTTGCAGGTCCGCCAGGATTTATACCAAAAATGCTACAGATAAACTTGTTCCTAGTAAATGAACAGGCCCCTTCGACTCCTGCTGGACCTATCCTCTCCACAAATTAAGTCGGCTATAGATTGTCAGACCTTCTCACTTCTACATTGTCACAATCGGTGGACTTTATTGAGTTTTCTGACGAGAGTCAGCCCTGCAGGTCGGGGATCGAGAAAAGTTACCCCCTGCATGTATCGTAAGAGGCGACTAATGTTGGAACACCCTACATAATTGGGTATTTGCTTGTGTGCCCACCACACAACACAAATGGAGGCACGTCCGTCCTTAAATGACCATAGCTGTTAATAGGACTTTTTACAAAATAAAACCAAAACAAACCAACCCTGACGCGAGTAAGGCCCTGTTCCACTTTTCCCTTTTCTCAGTATCAAATTAAAGGTCAAAGCGGTGTATTTCTCATTCAACTTCAAGTCACCTACATGTAACGTTACTGACACCAATAAAATAAATAACAATGTCGGTATAATGCTAGGACAATTTGAATACTTATATGTGATAAGTATTATCTGACTGCGCAATGAATCTATGATAACGGCTATCACAAATGTTGATAAAACAAAGTACATACAGGAAAGAAATGCACTGGTCTACTACATGTCGACAAACAGAAGGCAACTCTTAACGTATACCACATGATTAAATGTACATAATCAAGAAACATTTAAGTAGAAGAGTTGAGGAAATTATGATTATGAGTCATCGATATGAAATCGGTCACGTGATATAACGATAAACGTAAGGGGTGTTTCCTTTTTGCAATGATGATTATAATGATACCTGGTCTAAAACACAACAGCTGTTAGCCCTGTCTCCAAATGGACCAGCAGTTTACAGAGACATCGTCGAATGTACGGGTAGGTATAGAATGCATGAATATGTGATGATTATCGTGTTGCTTGCTTCCACCTTGTTTGATGAGGCGTAACATTCCATGTACTAATCTATCAGTGGACAGTATGCTGATTATACTAAGTTATCTGATGAACTGTCCATCATGGTCACTTGTATACGATTAATAACACTGCGTACCAAATGAAGGATATTATGCAACAAACTCGTCTAAGAAGAAGCCACGACACATCCGGTTCCGGCGATGACTTTATTACTATGAAGGTACTGAGTTTCTGTTTATCCCTGACTCCAAATGATCATTTTATTGTCTGAACAATGTTGTAATTCATTCACCCATACTTATCAATAAGGTATAGCTGTCATATTTGAGGTCAACTGAGACAGGGGTTAATCATACCTATTTATCGCCATCCGTCTTCGTACGTTCTCGCCGTCAGTCACCGTCCGTTTATACCATATAGTTTTGAATCCACCCTAAAAATCATTAGGCCTGGGGTTAGGATGCTTGACCAGAAGGAAGCTGGGATATAGGGGCATGGGTTCGGGCTATTTAACTCTGGGTTCACTCATGGTGATATAGAGGTCAGGTTTTAAACACTTTTAAGGGGATTCCTCATATGTTCCAGTTGACGAAGGGTCATACTATGTCATCTTCAGGTAGGTGAGATGGTGTGCAATCACTGTTGAACAGGGGTAAAATATGTTGAGATATGTAAATGACTTTCAAGTTCTACAATGATAAGGTCAATATATATATAAGACCAAGATGGGATTGAGGCTAAACCCACTCATGCAAGACTCATGAAGACACATGGTCTTAACGTTTTACCTTTAAGTAGCTGGGATAAATTCAGTATTCCACCACAGGAGCCAATATCCTGATGTTCGTCTGGCTCACACCATCCTTCAAAATGTCACTTGTTTTTGTTTCCTGTTCTGTTTTATAAAACATGTACTTCGATGTATTGACAAACAAAATTTGAATAAAACAAAGTTTTAAACAAAATGTCCAAATCTGGTGTCAGGGCCAGAGGAAACTCGGGCTAAGGGGTCAAATACTGTGAAAGTGGAAGTTTTCGAGTGCGGAAATGCTTGCGTGTGCACTGGTTCTGACATCTGTTCGTTCTATAAAAACATTCGCATGTGGATATTTCGTGCGAATCTAAACAACGCGAGCTTTTCCACTTTTGTAGTATGTTAAAACATGTTAACTGCCTTTCAAATCTTAGATAGACTAATCACTAGATATTTAACTACACTACACCTGGGATGGAGGGTAATCAAAGACGTTAAATGATCAAGAAATACATTTAAAGTCGTATGGGTTCAGTATGTTAAAATATTTAAATGACATTTTCAGGCCTGTGCAGGTTTGGTGAAAAATGACCTGCTGTGTCCAACTCCATGTTATCTTAAACGGCAACTTGTATGGGCGTCCTGTAGAATCGAGTTGTTTCTGTATCTTCTTCAGGACACTGAAGAAAACAATTTGTCTCCTGCCCACATCGCACCCTTAGGTGTTTTCTCTCTTACTTATTCCTCCTTGTCTCTTAGGGCACCCGTCTTCACATCACATTTTGCGAGGACGTTATACAATATTCATCAACCCGACAGGTTGGGGATTGAAAAATATATATATATATAATGTTGCACACTAAATGCTTCATAAGAGGCGACAAATGAGGAACCCCTGCAGAATTGGAGATTTGCTTTCGTACCCTATGCTTGGGGACACAAAAGTGATCAAAGTAAATTGTTTCACCCATTGCACTATTTTGGATCTTTATATATATAACTCTACTTCCTCGCAACCTTTTTGTTTCCAAGCGCCTCGCTGAACAATAGCCCCGCAGGATCGGGGAACAGAAAAGAGCTGTTGTATCACATTACATTTCGTAGAGTACGACTAATTTGGAGCCCCTGCAGATTTGGGTTTTTACATCCTGCCTTTTGTTAAGGGGACACTGAAGATATCAGAATGGGTATGCTGCCCCCATTGCAACATTTGATCTTTAATTTTTCTCTTTACGTGACGCTTAGCGTTGATGGTAATCCCTGTGACTGATTTACGGTTGTCAGTATAATGTGACCGGAAGGGTATAGGCAGTGTGCCAAAATGAATGACACTCCATCATACAGCTGTTTCACCCTTCTATAACTCGTTTGTGATGCTAGTGGCCAAAATGTTGGTAATCCAAATAGTCTAAACGACTGTTAAACAGGACTCTGCTGTGAGCATTCGGCATTGTATTTCAGTGAGGTAGCACTCTTAATAACGGCATCAGATCTGCTCTATCGTAAGGAGGCAAACACATCAACATACCCTGCCTCTAGCGCCATGCATACTAGCACTCTCACATTACACACATGGAGACACGTCCTTATATGACCTTATCTGTTAATAAGACGTTAAACAAAATTAAACCAAACAAAATCTTACTTTGGCCTCAGTGTTGAACGTGGGGAAGAAAATGGTATCTGTCCCCTTGCCGAGATATATCAAAATCCTATAAAATGGTAGTTGTTATTGTCAAATGTTCAGCAGTTAGGGATATACCACAGCTGGTTAACCTATTGTCAGTATACTATGTGACCTAACCTCGGGACCTTCGACCTAGTATTTGAGAGAGTTAATTAGATTTGCGCTATCGCAAGGAGGCAAATAAACCAACATACCGTCTTCAGCACACATGGACGCAAACAATACACACATGAAGGCACGTCCTTAAATGACCTTTGCGATTTCGTATTTGAGTACATAACTCATAAGGTACATGGGTAATGGTGGTGTGTACATATCTGCCTTACTGAACAATAACTAGTATACATGCTTAACGGCCTATCAACACAAGAGAGGGTTTTAGGACCAATGAATGGTCGACAAAAAAGTCGATTAAAATCAAATGTAAATTAAGACTAACATCACACAAACGGAAAGGAAAAAGCGAGCGTCAACTTTAACATTGTAAGTAGATATGGTGACATATTTTTGGGAACAGACCAAAAACTTAAATTGTAAAAGAAAAAAAGAAAAATTGAAAAGTCATTTAAGACATGTAACATTATTATAACAAAAGTATCGCGTGTTGGCAGAAGGTAAACGCATTCTTATAACAGGTGTTTTACTGTAAATAGTTCTTGACAGGCTTTTGACTGAGGCTGGTCCTCACGATCTAACGTCCACGCAACAGCTAAGGAACTAAGACCTTGCATAGAGGGGCTTGAGTCTTGATTTCCGTGACAATGTACAGATATTTCAGTTCTCTCTCCGACACTCGCTTTCATAGAATTCGTGTTCAGTGAGTCCCTGTAGGTAGGGCGTACAAATTGTACCCGCTGCCCCTATTGCATGATCGTAAGAGGCGACTAAATTTGGGATCTTATCTTTTCTCTTCTTTGTTAACACCTTTCTTCTTCCTAATGTCTCCTTTGACAATGCCTCACTTTTGGCCTTTAGTTGAGCGTTCGCCCCTGTGAGGAAGGCTTTGGGTTCTGTCCCCTGGCCGAGGCATACCAGAGTCTGTAAAAATGGTAGTTTCTACTCCTGCTTAACGCTCAGCAATTTAGGAGTGGGCCGACTGGTTCGCCCGTTGTCAGTATAATGTGACAGGGTGGGGTGTCCTAATGGGTGTCTTCGGCAGTATATGTCAGTGAGGTAGCACTATAAAGTGGGCATCAGTTCCGCACTCTCACAAGGAGACAAACATGAACATATCACAGCCTCCCAAAACACACGCATACATTACACACATGCATCTTGCACACATAGGAGGCCGTCCTTAAATGACCATAGCTGTTGATAGGACGTTAACCAATACTAAACCAAACCAAACCAATCATGATCAATGCTGGTTATCAAATTATAGTGATTGTTTCGAGAACCAATTACAAGCGGTGCATACGGTGACCGAATCGAGTTTCATGCCATTGTGTCAGAGATTTTTATTTTGTTTTTGTGTTAAAGTCGAAACCGGTAACGTTTAATTCCTCGGGGTAGAACATTTTCTTTCAATATAACCGGTGTACATTGTAACCGATACGCGTTACATGATCCAGAAATATCCACGTAATGTAATGAAAACAATCTACGGAACAAATACATTGTACCGCAAGTAATGATTGTTAAAACTGTAACATTTTAAATACAAGTATCATCGTTACCTACAAACACGACAAATGTACAAAAAAAATGTCATTTCAACAACTTTGACCGCTGGACTGTTGAAAAATAGTCCATCACACAAGACTTCTGGTGTGAAGATTCTTCTTATTTACTGCCTTATTTGATTGAATAATCATGGACGATTCTATGTCAATATCAACATATACGATTTTTGTATTTAACAAATTGATTATAGGTGTGTCAATAACAGCATTGTAAATATGTGAAACATAGTTTTATTGTGATTCACGTAATATAGGTTTCTTTAAAATGTTCATCAATTAAGATTTTAAACTCCCCAATTGTTTGTGCATTGACAACATGTACAGGTAGATTGTTCCATACGTCTACTACGTGTTTTACTCATTTTCTACTTCTTTATTATTTATTGATGGGATTCATGGTATTTTTCCTCGTACAACAAACCAGCAGGTTTATATATGGGAAACAAATTAACTTTTGTATACTATTTTTAGAAAACTTTATATAGGGAATATTTCAGGGGAGTGGACTTGTGTACATGGTGTACCTTTCGGGTTCCTATACTACTGCCAACACCTGTAGCGTGTACTGAAGACTTTCCTCAGTATAACTGTAATAAATCATTTCTGAAAAGAAATCCTATAAAGTGAGATCAGTAAAGAGAAGTCACTCACATGTCATAATGAAACCAGGGGTGTTACTGCAAATAAGAAACAGTAAAGGAAAAGTATCTAGCGCTAGCTGGGGGACAGGAATCCGTAATAGAAATGTTATGAAAAATATTTTGAGATATTCCCCGACTTTGCTAGTCTCATTGTCCATTTCTGCGCTCAGTGCTAGAGCTCCTTCAAAATGAGA